TTACGGTATTGGCTTCATTGCTATGACAACCGAACCAAGAGCTCGAGTAAGTTGCAAATTTAACCAAAGTCTTTATTTCACTGGGTACTTGGGTTAATGTAGGCAGTGAATGAGAATGCCTTTCCCCTCTCTCAATAAGAGGAGTACACAGTTTTAATTTTTGTACCCTGACTACACCCAACCAGGGAATTTTTGTGCCCCAAATTATTTTCAGTTTCTTATTCTTCTCTAAGATCCATCTAGATAAGTAGTTCTCATTTTGAGGGACCTACGTTAGTGGAAATGGCTATATACATACGAAGAAATGCTCTAGGAGATCTTATTTTAATAACATCACTGGTAATGATGACAATTCTTCAAGTCTTTGCATTCTTTTGATTTCCTAATTAACAAAGAGTAATGAAGTAGCCATTAAAAAGGAGAAGATATCTTAATGAGTATAAATTATAAAAATAAACTGGGCAAATGCTAAGTAGAACTCTTTTATAAAGAAGGAAAAATGCCCTAGAGTGTTTATATTTCTTGTTTTCTGAAGCTGTTCTGTCCTCTTTCTCTGTTAATAACATTCTCTTTTGGGCAACTGCCAAATGATGGGTAAATACGGGAAGCAGAAATAAAATAGCTAAAGATTCAACTGAGGGGCAAGAACCTTCTGAAGGATAGTCATAAAAAAAGAAGCCACAACCAATAGGCGACTGAGTGTGAAAAAATTATCAAGGCAGGAAAAAAAACAGGCAGTCTAGTTCCTCTCTCAGCTAACCATTTAGGATGAATATTTCCTAATAAGAAACGCTGAGTTAGTTTTCAAAATAAAAGATTGGTTGAGCTTTTTTCAACCCAGAACTGAATCTTGATTGATTTCAGTTATTTCTTGTGGATTTGTATTTGGAAGTCATTTTCAACCATGTTTGGGAAAAGCATGTGTTCTATCGCTATGAAAAAAAAAAAGGAGGAAAAAGCAAAGTATGTGTGAAAATGTGAGATTCTTGTTGCATGTGACCTTGAGGAGGCTGAAGACAGAAATGCACTATTTGACTTGAGATGGTGGTACGAGTGTGTTTCCTTGGCCCAGAGCTGGGTCCTCAGGGACTTGTGTTAATGTAGACAGTGAATGAGAATGCCTTTCTCATTACTCACTCCACAGTTGCTATGGTATTGCATTGGCTAACATGGAAACATCAAACTATCAAAAGATGGGAAGATTTCTGCAGTATCAATACACAAGGGACCGTTTAGGATGTCAAATCGTAGGAGGCCCTTCTTGCCTTGATAAAGATATTGGTGCCTGTAATCCTGGCACTCTGGGAGGTGGACGTGGATTGCTTGAGCTCAGGAGTTTGAGATTATCCTGAGCCAACAGTAAGATGATGTCTCTACTAAAAATAGGAGAAAAAAAATTCCTAAAATTAACTGTGGGTTGTGGCAGGTGCCAGTGGTCCCAGCTACTTGGGAGGCTGAGGCACGAGGATTGCTTGGGAGGCTGAGGCATGAGGATTGCTTGAGCCCAAGAGTTTGAGGTTGCCTGTGAGCTATGACACCACAGCACTCTACCCAGGACATACAGTGAGACTGTCTAACACAACAATAACAAAAAGATACTGATGTCAAGAGTCTCACCTTTTCAAATGAGAAGACCCTTTGGTATCAGATGCTTTTCCTGTGACTATGTACCTTTGTTGGGTAGTTCAAAAATCTTTTTGAAGTGCTTTTCCTTTATTCAGTTTCAGTAATTCAGTTTTTTAGTTTAACTATGGAGAATTAGGGGCAGAGAAGGATGATTTGCCTAAGAGGATATGGGAACACCAGACCTGGACTCGAGGGTCCAGCCATCAGTGATTTTGGTCTCATTCTGTAGACGTAGGTTAAGGACTAAAACATAAAAAAAGTAGACAACATAAACGAAGCACTTGATAAGAAAAAGGGACTAACAGCTACACAAATATTTCCTTTTGTAGTTCCCCAAGGTGAAAACATGTATTAAAATACAAGATTGAACTTGGTTTAAGCAAAATTGATAGGGAATTTTGAAGCATGACAGCTATCCGTGAAGAACATTTTCTTCTTACTCCCCAAGTCAGATTTTAGAGCTATTGACACAAGAACTTTGCTGTAATAAAATACAGGGCCTTACATTTTACAGAGACAATGATACATGAACTTTATCTTATAGGTAAAAGAAAAAAAGATTCATCCAATTAAAAGTAATAGTATATCTAGCTTACTGAGCAATCCATTAAAGAGTTCATCCACCAAGTCTTGAATGATGAGTTTTTTAAATTTTCTACCTTTTTTTTAGCATGAAGTACGTTTTATTTTGCAATGTATCTCTAACACCAAGCAGGGTACTGAGAATAAATAACAGCATTTATTTGCTGAGTGAATAAACACCAGGCTCTAGTACTCCATGGAATAACTTTGCAAATGAGACACTAATTATAATAACTTGGTCTTCGTTTTGTTGTCTGTAAAAGAGAGGGCTTTAGGTAATACTGAATTCTTAAGGATTTCTCTGGCTTTGAAATTCTAATTCTGAAATCTTAAAGGGAATGTCTGTGTTCACATTGAATGTGGTGTTTAGTTTTGCTTTCGAAACTTTGTGCCTTAAATCTCAACACCTTATTTTCCTGCAGCACAGTGGAGAGTCCATAAGAACTTATTGATGGGAAATGAGAAAATAATTACCATTCAACCCCGATGAAGGTGTTTCACCACGGGAGGTAGAACTCAGCCTGAGCAACACCAGGCTCGTCACCTCAAATACAAGCCAAAAGGTGTGTCTTGGCGGTTTGGGCGAGATTTTCTCTCTACACTTCTAGAAGTTTGCCAAGAACGTTTATGGAGATTGATCCTTCTTATTTACAAATAAAGATAATATAGTAGATTTTCTATAGAATATTTGAATCTTTTGTCAGAAGACTTGAGGGAAACAGTCCAGAGTCCACATATTCTCCCTTTGTGTAAAACAAATATAGTGTACAAAGAATGTCCTTGTAAAATCCACTACCCTGGGCTGGCATGACATGGCGATTACGTTGGACTTGAGCTTTCCCAAGTTCAGCACACTTGGGGCCAATTCTTTCTGGCATCTTGCTGGTAAGCAATGGATATAACGCCATTAATTTAGCCTGTATCAAAGTGTTTCGTGATAAGTCTGACAACTGTTCCAGAACATAACACCTTGTCAGAATTGAGTAATGTTTCTCGAAATAAAAAGTAACATATCCCAGAAGATTGTTAGTTTTCTGGGGTATTGGGTATCATTAATCAAGGTACATAGATTAAATTGGATTAGATTAGGTTAGATGAGATGGGATTCTTGTTTGTGGAATGCTGGGTTAGGCAAACCTGGGGAAGTTTTTTGGTTGAGGGTCTTCTAATGTCTCACTGTACCTTGTGGCTCTCTAAGTGACACAGGCTAGATTAGGTCAGGATTTCCAAATATGTTTGCTTAAGAAACTTTGTCCCGTAGAAATGTTTTGTGGAACTTTTGCCTCATGGGACATAATTTAAAAAATAACCTATACATGAAGACTGTGCAGAATTTTTTTTCTTGTCAGGATTTTCAGTTTAGGTAAGAACAAGACAATTTTAAGAAATAAATGGAAAACTTGATTTTTTTTGAGACAGAGTCTCAAGCTGTCGCCCTGGGTGGGTGTCACAGCTCACAGCGACCTCAAACTCTTGGACTTAAGCAGTTCTCTTGCCTCAGCCTCCCAAGTAGCTGGGCCCAGCTTTTTGTTGTTGTTGTTGTTGTTGTTGTTGAATTGTCATTGTTGTTTTAGCTGGCCTGGGCCAGATTTGAACCCACCAGCCTTGGTGTATGTGTGGGGAGCCCTTCCTGAGCTATGGGCGCCACCTGAAAACTAGCTTTGATATCAAAGTTAAACAATATTGTACTTGGTTACTTGCAATGATGTATTATTTTTAATGAATACATTATTCACCATAATTAATTTTATTTACTGTAAGGTATTTGTTTTTTGTCTGACGCTGATATGCTATAGCTTGGCAAAATTAATTTCCCCAAGGATTTAAATAACTTAATTAATAAATCATGAGTTGTATAGAATCTTAGAACTGCCTAAATTGACCTTAAAGGATTTGTTTAGAGAAATATATTTTTGACCATGTAACCAGGGACACATACCACATTATAAAATATTGTGATAGTTTATTCTTCCAAATGTTTCCAAGTGTGTGATACAAACTGAGATATACACAAATAATTAACAGATTTGTGAAAGTTGACACAATGAGCAGAATTTAAAAGAATGATTATTATTTTTTTTAAGTGGTGTTTCTAGAATTCTTAGATGATATCAACATATGTTAACTGCAACTTCTCATGCTCAATGATGTTTAAGATTAATATAATACAATATTCAGCCATATAAGATTAGCAGTCATAATTAATTCAGAATAGATTCTTTGAAGTGGTTTAAAGGGCTTTTCATACTAAATTACCAGCCTTTAATTAGCTAATGTAGAGTGAGTAATTTTTAGGATGTGAGACGTACGTGTATGTCTCATAAAGCATTTAACTTAGGTTAATGAAATGAGTTTGAATGATCCAGATTTCCTATACCAAGTCAGAGATATGTCCGACATTCCACTGAAAGCTTTATTTAGATGGAGTCGAGGAATCTTTGAGATAACAGGCTTTGGACTATGATATCTTGAGTGTTATAGTTGAGTAGTTCTCCCAGAATCTTCAAGTCCTTTTCAACCTGTTTTACGAATGAATTGAATTAGTGAAAGATACATGTATTTTTCCCTTTTAGATTTCTTACCCAATTTAAAGAATGTTGACTTTGGAGGTTCCTAACATCAAATGTTGCCTGAGAAAATGCTACTTCCATGTGCAAGGCCAGCCCTGGCAAACCTCTGGGATCCTGTCCCATTCACTCCCACGCTTCTGAGATAAGGAGCCTGAAGTGTGAGCTAAATAGAGATGAGGCTGCGACAAGGTCATTCCTGCCAGAGCACCAGAGACACCAAGCTCTCAAGGGCACTGCAGTATTAATACATAAAAAGTCGCCGTTCGAGGACGTTTTAAAAATACAAATATTTTGAAAGGGTAAAGATGAAGGTCCCTGAATTAGAGGATGTAAAAGATGAAACTGAAAAGGAAAAAACAGGGGAAGAAGAAAATGAAGAAGACCAGGTGAGTGGGAAGGGACTGCTTGAGAACAGGATGTGTTTCTCTGAGTCGATGGTGAGAAAAATATTTCTTTTCCTCTTTTCAAAACAGGTCTTCTTTAAGCCTATTATTGAAGACTTAAGCCTGGAATTGGCCAGAAAATGCACCAAACTCATTAGTGATGTAAGTGGCTTAAGTAATTTCTGTCTTGTTTTGCTTTGTGCATGTGGTACTGTTATGTAACCATCTCTTCAATACAATTATTTTCCAGACTGTAGGGCTAGGTCCAGAAATGTTCAGCAGATTTCCCCAGGGTCACCAATACAGAAAATTTCTGCCAGAGTGAATTTCCTCATTCTTAATCTAGAATCCTCTCTTCTGAATTTTGCTGTCATTCTGGCATGAACTCAGAAGGCAATCATCCTCTCTATGAGAACCCCAAGACTTTAAAATTAATATAATGATGTAATTTGTCTAGGGAGGCCCTCTATCTAAATGAGTGATTTTTAACATTTGGGTGACCTTTTGAAGAATCTCATGACTGCACTTGTTTCCCAAACCAGGAAAATGCATATAATACCTACATGGCTATAATAATCATTTACAATTTGGGATTGATGATTTACTGAACTACATGTTAAGAACCCTGAACTAGATGATGGGCTTAGGGAAAAGGAGCATTTCAGTTGTGACTTTTTCAGTAACTGGGATTGGTTTATCTTAATATTTTAAGGGACTCCTAGAATTATGGAACTATTTACAATAAATATGTAAACCACAGTTCTAGAAGTTAAGCAAAATGATCGCTCATTGGGGATAAGAATTTAGATGAACTTCATTAACAGTTGAGAGAGAATTGCTTGTACAAAGGACAGATGGCTCCTATAAAGTGAATTTGGACCTGTGTCTTCATTTAGAGACGTGAGCATAATACTGGTTGTTTCTGTTGTTGTTAACAAGCAAAGCAATTGAAATATTTTATAGACATTTATTTCAAAGGAAGTCAATCCTAGGTGGCCAGGGCAGTGTGCTAATATGTCCTCTGAATCAACTTGTGTGGGTTGACTCAACTGTAACCTTGGGAAGGTTATATAAGCTGGCTGGGCTCAGTTCCTTAGGTATAGACTAAATAACACGTCTGAAATGCTGAGGAAGCTGTCTGGAACATTGTCAGTACTCAATAAATATCAGCTGTTATTCACTATTACGTTTGTAACTTACCTTTGTACCCCTCCAACCACGTTTCATATCTGATGCTGCATTCCCTTCTGGTTTATCAGAAAAGAGCCAAAGGATGGTGGTGAAAATCACACCCCTTCCCATATACGTGGCATGGGATGTAATGAAAATTTAAATTAAAGAACTTCTTTGGGCTGTTACTTAATAATCATTAGCTATTGTATGCGAAAGTTCTTTGTAAACTGCAAATGTTAGTAATGAAATGACATTGATAACAATGGTGGCAGTAGCAGTATCAGTGTCATTTAAGCTTTGTGTCCCAGGCACTGTGGTTAGTGAGGTGGGTTCTGTTCTTTCTATTTTAGGAGTAAGGTAGACAAGGCCCAGAGAGGGGAAGCACCCTGCCTGGGTCACACAGTTAAGCCGATAGAGTAGGACTTGAGCACAAAGCCCTTTCTCTTTCCTCTGCTGTGTTATCCTGCACTGTGGATTTCCACACACTTTATCTTAGCTTTATTATCATTTATTATGCTGGTATTAGTAGTAGAAAGGCTACAGTTTGAAACCTTAAATCCCTGAGAATCTCCAGAGAACTCAAATCAGACCTCCCATTTGATCCTGCAATCCCGTTACTAGGCATCTGCCCAGAAGAAAAAAATCCTTTTATCATAAGGGCGTTTGCACTAGATTGTTTATCACGGCTCAATTTACAATCACCAGAATATTGAAACAACCTAAATGCCCACCAACCCAGGAATGGATTAACAAGCCGTGGCATATGTATACCACGGAATACTATTCAGCCTTTAAAAGAGATGGAGACTTTACATCTTTTGTATTAACCTGGATAAAGTGGAAACACATTCTTCTTAGTAAAGCATCACAAAAATGGAGATGCAAGAATCCAGTGTACTCAGTTCTAATATGAAGCCAGTGGATGATGTAATACATACCCATATAAGTGAAAAAATCAAATCAGTTCAAGGTGGGGGGCAGGAGAGTGAGGGAGTGGGGAGTGGGAAGGAGAGCAGGGGTTATAGTGTATGGCACAACTCTTGGGGGCGGGACACAATTAGAAAAGGGACTTGACCTAACAAATGCAAACACTGTAACTTGATTCTTTGTTCCCTCAATGAACCTAAAACAATAAAATAAATAAATGAAACCTTAAATTCCTAACGTGGGAGCTAATACCACTTCCAGCTCTGATATTTTTTTAAAATTATTTTTTTATTTTTACATACACATGTGATTAATAGGTTTCCACTTTTTGCCTTCACAGAATTAAAAAGGCTTAAAATTTGCCAACAATAACAATGTTAAAGCTAAGGACTAGAAATGATATGATATGTTTTTATTTAAGTGTAATTACAACTGAGCTGAATTGTATTATGCAAACCATTAGGATTAAAGTGGTCTCTATAGTTCGTAGGTGATTTTGTTGTTTTTGAGTAAGGTGATCAGTGATTTAAAAACCACCCTGGGGTAAGAGGTGATGGGCAGCCTTTATCATTTTGCAAAAGCCAAAGCCAGGTTATTTCATGTGTGCTTAGGAAAAAAATCAAACACATGGTGTAGTTTCTGTTTAATACAGATTTACGTTGCATGGCAGAGTATCTGAACTACCCAAATATTTAGAACAGTGTTATTGTATCTTCATTTATATGTGCACACACATTCACATTTTGCTTCCAAATACAGTTCTATATTTGCTAAGATAGGTGTTTAATTTACATAATAACCTGAAAAAATTATTCTTTTTGTTCCTAATAAAAGTGAAAAGAGGAATTTGTACAATCATCTTCAAAACAAATTTGAATTGATCCTTTCTGGAAGGACCCAGTATTTTGGACTAAATCAAATTGGCCGTGTTTCAAAAGTTTGTTAGGTTGTATTAGTAAGTGATAACTTGTTTATTCTTTCTCAATGTCATCAGCTCTTTTATATGGAGCAGATGAACTTATATTTGAAATTCTTATCCCTGTTATATCTTCCGCATGGCCAGATGGTTGTCTAAAATGCATCAGTCATAGAGCTAAAAGAGATATAAAAATGGGTTCACTCAGTTAGACCTGAGTACCCGCCAGGCCTGTCTGCCATTGCCGATGGAGCCCATTTGTCAGTGACCTTCACTTAATTTAGGGCACCATTTCCCTGTGGCCTCAAACTTAAACACGAACCTTCAAGTCTGTTAGTTTTGTTTTATGATCCACCTGCCCCAGAGGAGCATCTGAAGTCCTACTTTGCAGAGTCCTCCATCCTGGTGCTCAGAGAAGCAGCCTTGTAGGCTGCAGATAGAGCAGGTCCCATGGCTAGGGACTTGAAATGGCATCTGCCTGATGATGTCCTTCTTCCGCCAGGTGTGCCAGCCCATCCCTGTGCACGTCTCTTTCTGTGCTGCAGCAAGCCTGTGCCATAGGCCCTGGGAGCCTCAGTTCACACGTGTCACCTGTAGTCATGCCCCACTCTCTCATTTTTTTTAGATAAGAATGGTGGTTTTATGCATTTTTCTTCGCAGAGCAGCCTTTCTAGATGCCTTCATCACTCTATTTCTCTCTGGGTCTTTTCCAACCTTTAGATGTCCTCCTTGGACCGTAATCACCAGAGCTGCACTGAGAGCAGGCCTGATGCGGGCAGCCTGGATTACGAGTAGAGTCGGATAATGTTATATTTTGCTTCTAGCACCCTTTGTGATGCTATTTAAAATTCCTTGGACATGGGGACAGCAGAAAGCTGTTAGATCAAACTCTGTAGAACATCAGAGCCACTTTCAGTCCTGATTTCTGTGGCTAGGACTTTAGGGCCCATCATCTTTTATAGGAGTTTGGGTTGTTTTGACTTCACCAGGGAGCAGTCTAATCTGTAGTTTCCTGCCCTCCCGCTTGGCCCTTTGAGAGCTTCTGAGGTTCATCTCTGCCACTTGCTCTGTTTGTTCTTTCCCTCCCTGAGACCGTGTGGGGCTATCAGCAGACCTGTGGGCTTGCCTGTGTCATCCCCGTGCCAGACAATTTATAGAAAGAAATGTTAAGTCAGATTGGCCTTGACATCAGTCCTGGGAGGCCCGCACTGTTTCAGATTCTCCACAGAGGGACACGTCAGGTTTTCACTTTGGGGAGCAGTAGAAGGCATTTTCCTGTTTTTTTCTTCCCCTCCCCTCCCCTCTCCTGCCCTCCCCTCCTTCCTTTCTTCTTTCCTTTCTGTCTCTCTCTTTCTTTTTGTCTCCCTAGTTCCTGCTTTGCATTTGCTCTATCCACATTGGAGGGTTTCCCTGTATGTAACTCACTTCCCAATCTTAAAGGACGCCTGACCCTCTGCGGCAGTCTCTTTTATTTTTCTATTAACCGTGGAACACTTTCTGTTTCTCCCGTGGACTGTGTTTGGTATTTGGTCCTGTTAGTCAAATATCTAATTAATTAATTCCTTGAATCAATTAAACTTATCCACTCGATGGGGCATTCAGAACCATGAATCTAGAAGCCTTCTGACAGCTCAATTATAAAAAACATTGGGCGAAAGGGAATCTTCAGAAAGTTTCTTGTAAATTAGACACAAAGAGCCTTCTGCAGACCAAGTCTGGCCACGTCTACAGACATGCAGCCTCTGACTCAATGTTTTGGTTTGGAGCTTTTTAGGATCTTCATTTGCGTGGCAGCAGGAAGACCATTTTCCAGGCAAACAAGCATCATTTGTTGTGGGTAACCCTTGAGATGCTGAAACTATTAAATTCCATAGTTCTCCTCCAGAGAAAGCTGGGGCATTTCCAGAGAACCCGGGAGAAGGACTTTGTCTACAAGCGCCCCGTTAACAAATAGTGATGGAGCCACAGTTCTTCCTTGCAGGGTTCACTGAATTTAACTGGTATGAGTTCACCTGGGAAGAGATTTTTCAATCCTTTCAGTTAAGAATGCATATAAATGGAAATTTTCTCAAGCATTTCCCCATCTGTCATCCAGTTCCGGCTATTAACTAATCTTGTACTTGTTGAAAGAAATTTGCCAAGAGGAGGAAGCAACACCGAACTAATTGAACCCTAATTATGGTTGAGGCATTGTGAGACAAGTGGGTAAGGTCGAAGGAGAAAGCAAATGTATGGGGCGTTGTCATGTTCAGAAAGTCAATCAGCTTTGCCCTTTTAATTTTCCAGTTTGAAAATACGTTGGGTTGTGTATTGGTTGAGTTCAGACGGCTATAAGAGCAGGAGCTCTGTGATGCAGCAGCTTCCCACCCCCCCCACCCCCCACGTCTATTCTGGAGGTTAGTGGTTCAGTCTCAGTACTGTGGGTGCCATCAGAGCCCGCCAGCCCCCCGGCTGTGTTCCTTCTGCTGTGCCGTCATAGTGCGGTGGCTTATTGCCTTCTGGTGACATCATTGCTGCTGCCCCCCTGTGACTGGGGAAGGGAACATTCAGAAGACCAAGGGTCAAAAGGTTGTGCAAAGCCTCTCCCTTCATCTTAGAAACCCCGCAGAGAGGACTTTCACAGTGACTCACCACCAGTCGCCAGCCAGAAAGAATAACATGACTGTGCCTGGTTTAGAACAATTTGTCCCTTGGGGTTGGGCTAGTTGGGGGCCTGACTATTGTCATGAATATGAGTACATTTGGGGTCTGTTAGTGGGAGGGAAGGGACCGGCTCAGCCATCTATCCAATGGATGGTGCCACCGTGGACAAGATTGGTAACAGGGAATAGCCATCTATTCAGGGATTTTTGTTTTACCTAAGGTTTGCAGCGTGGATGGAGGCAAAGCCCTTTCATCTCTCATTTCCTATTATCCTGGCACAGGAAGGCTATGACCGTGATGTTATTTACATACAATTTAAGATCATTGGCTTATGTCATTCATATTATACAGTTTCTCAGAAATCGTACCCACACACACAGCCAAGTAATTTATAATGAATTGGATGATATGAATGACATAAGAAAATGATCTTAGCGGGCAGTGCCTGTGGCTCAAAGGAGTAGGGCTCCGGGCCCCATATGCTGGAGGTGGCGGGTTCAAACCCAGCTCTGGCCAAAAGCTGCAAAAAAAAAAGAAAATGATCTTAGCATTTTAAAACACATTGCACATTTAAAGACACAAATGTCCCTATCTTTTTAAAAAAGAAGGACCTACAAAAGAAATGGAGTCTGCAATTCAGACTGAACTATTTGCCTGCCCAGCAGAGGAAGTAAATAGTTCACCCTTATCCAGGCCTGCCGCCCTGAACATTCTGTTTATGTCATACTTTATCAGGAGGCTGTAGCTATAAGCACATACCACGGGTGGTGAAGAATGTGGATGTGATGAGGGAAAGATGGTGGTAAAGATAAAAATAATGACTCAAACTTAAGCCTGATGATAGATTATTTTCTCTCACACTTAATTATATAACAGAGATACTTTTTCTCCCCCCTCCTTCTGATCAAAATAGCCCACTATTTATCATACTGCCATTAACAGTTTAATTACTAGCGACGGAGGAGGGTGATTTGCGGGAACCTAAAATTATGGCTAATCTCTGAGAAGGAAAAAAAGTAATTTAGTGCTCGGATAAGATAAATACGTTCTCACGTTGATTTCATGAATAAAGCGAGGGTTTAACGTGGCAGGCATCTGATAGGTAAGAATCCCAGCAGCAAAATGGAGCACTTTGAAATGATTTTATTGAATCTGTTCCTATGTGTGGTTCTACCTTAGCTCAGGGAACACCCCTCAAGTCAGGTTTGCATAAGGTAAAAAATCTCCACGTGATGTCCATGTTGGTCGTGCCCTCCGGGAACTCAGTAGTATACACAGTCTAACTTCGCTTTTGGGTTATAATTAAGGAGACCATGTAATTTGTCATCTGAACTGGGGGACTTTTTCCTGCATGAGTATTTATGGTCTTGGGTAGATAAACACGGCTTTATTACAGGGTGATGGAACTTTTAGCAGACTACTTCCGTCTTCTCAACTGGCCGTAGTTTTGCCCCCCCAGTGCTTCAGACGGAGCAGCAATCAGAGTGACGGTGGGACTGCATTTTAGGTCTTTCTCCACGTTTTCTGACTTCTTTGGGGCTCACATGTCCAGGCGGGGTATTCCCCCAGAGTAATTAGCAAGTCTGGCCACTCCCCAAGGTGAAGGAAGCAAATTATTTTCCTTGTAAGTCTGAGAGAAGGCACATGCTCAGGAGGGTCTCTCTGGCTTTCTCTTGCTGTTCTGCTGGTCCACAGCCAGGGAACATTCTGGAATGATCTCCACCAGGGGCAAGCTTTCTGGGCAGGTTCTGCTCTTGTTTCAGGGAGGGGAAGAGGAAAGACAGGGGTGGGGAGAGAAAGGGGGTGCGGGGGAGAAGCTCATAAATTGGATAAGTATGATTCAGAAGGAATTAATTAGTAACAGAAGCCCATGGTAGCCACAACTTAGGCCCCTTCCTCTAATCAAGCATGTATTGATGATAACACTAATAGTAATCTCTATTTGTTGCATTTCTGCCGCCACTTCTTAATTGATTACATCTGTCAGGGTGACTGTTTTCTTCCTTGAGGAAGGCAGCTGTGTTTCTGTTTAGCCATAGGCTTAACTGTGAAGGCCAGTGGCTTAAAAGTAACAAAAGCTAGGACGCTTATGGGAGTGACATGGCGCATGTTTGAAGCTGACACTGGATAAAGAGAACCCGTCCTCAGCGGCCCCACATCCCTGGTGTTGATTCTTAAGATAACTGGACCTTGCTAGTCTGTAGAGCAGCCTGTCTTCCCCAGGCCCTGTCACCTTTGCAGTTCTGAGCTGGAGATCTGTTTATTTGACTTGGCGTGCTCTGAGGATTATTGCCCGTCGGAGTATTTACTTTGGAAAATGGACTTTCTCATCTTGATTCTCTCTTCAAAACAGGCCATTAGAATTGTTTTACTCCTTTCTCTTCTTATGTAAATTATTCTCTTTTTTAGATCCATTATAAAGAAGCATTCAAAAAATCTAAGGGCAAGTGTACATTTGTGACTGACACGCCTATGCTAAAGCACGTAAAAAATATTGGCGCTTTTATTTCTGAGGTAAGAATATCAAACACTCGCAAACTGGCTTATGTTTTACTTTTTCTATTTTTATTAAAAGTGTGTGCGTTAGAATTGGAGTATAATATTTTCAAAAGCACTGCTGGATGTGGGTAATATGTATATGATCGTCTAATTATCTAATCCTAGGTGAATGAATCCATGTAAATTGATACATTTTACTATGTATGCTTTATATGTCTTATTATATAATCTGCATTTTGACTCTTTCTTATTTATATTGAAATCCTCTTGAAAAGGAATATTTTTTATTCAGTAAGTAGAACCTGGGGAAAATAGTTAATTTTAGAAGTTCCATTATTTTTTTTTTCCAAACAGACATAGTAAACTATTGAATATCGTTTTGGAAATAAGTCAAGATTTATCAGATTTCAATGAAAGGTGAGCTGTCTTGGATAAACAGTTTTAAGTTAATATAAGCTATTTTTGAGGGGGACACAGTTCGGTTCACCAGAGATACCTATTAAGAAACCACAGAGGGGGAAATATATTCATTTCCCAGCTGAAAAATCACGTGGTCTCTCTGACAACATTTAGGACTGAGTACGGTTCATGTTATGTTTCAAGCGCGGCGGTAACAATGATTTCTGTGATGAGGCATTACTGTGGTCTGTGACTAGATCACTTAGAAGGGGTCCATGGGTAAAAGAAAATGAATGAAAGAGTTGTAAATGACTGACCTCTAGTGTTTCGTAAATGATGTCGGGAGAAAGAGCAAGGTGTTATTTCTGCAAAGGTGAAACAATTTTGAGGGAAATCAGCACATTTTCTTCTATTAAGTACCAAGCACCCAAAGAGTGTGGGAGGAGAAGGTTGGCCCAGGATATGAGCTCATAAATCAACACTCACATCTAGCTCAGAGTGGGAGGGGAGGGGGGACTCATCTCCACAGTAAGGAAGAACACGGTTTTGCCTGTTGGTGTGAGCTCTGTTAATTCTCCTGTGCAGAGAAATTCTTGACGTTCTTCATTATTGAATATTTTTCCCGAGGGAGTTAACTACAGGGCCAGATGTGGGCAGTCTGTTGTGTTCCCTTGAACTGAATTTTCCCAAGAGGAAATGGTCAATGTGTGTTTGTCTTTGCGGTAAAGACTGAGATGGTTTAGAGACACTGGAGATCGGGGTGGGAAGTGACACACACAGAAAGGCACTGCCACCTCCCACAGTAACAGGAAGAGGCCGAGAAGATTTCCATCCAGGAATGCTGGCGATTGTTTCACTTTTTACCTGGACAGTAAGTACTCACAGCTCCTCTTTCCTAGAACAACTCAAATGTCTTATTGTTCTCGCATTATTTGCTCCCTCATCCAACAGGAAACTGTCAATACCCACGAATAGGTTTGCATTTGGAAAACTGCTTGGATTTGAATAGAAAAATAGAAAATATGTTCCTGCACATCTCATTTACAGCTTTCTCCATGATAAATTGGATTTATTTCTATCTCTTTGGAATATGTTTGTCAGCTCCAGCATCTAAAATTAAAATGGTCTGCGGATTTTTAAATCAATGCGGTTTCTGAAGGAAGTTTCTTTTTATATTCATGGTAAAAAAAAAATCTATATATCTATATACATATATAAAGGAATGTTTATTTTCTTTTCTTCCCCCTTCCCAGGCAAAATATAAAGGCACCATTAAGGCAGATCTTTCCAACTCTCTCTATAAGCGAATGCCAGCCACAATCGACAGTGTTTTTGCGAGAGAAGTTACACAGCTTCAGAGTGAGGTGTGGTTTCCCAAATTGTTATATAGATGAACATATCACCTGATATATGTTGTTTATTATTTTCATAAAAGATTTTGTAATCTAAGGTAATTAAATATGGAGTGAATGTTGGGTAATGCACTGTTGTTCTCGGTGAAATCTCAAAAAATGAAACAGACATGCTATATGCTGTTTTTCATTCAATGCTATTTATAGAGCAAATGTTAATCTTATTAGATAGCTTATATAGATGAAATTCTTTTTTTTTTTTTTTTTGAGACGGAGCCTCAAGCTATCCCCCTGGGTAGAGTGCCATGGCATCACAGCTCATAGCAACCTCCAACTCCTGGGCTCAAGCGAGTCTCCTGCCTCAGCCTCCCAAGTAGCTGGGACCACAGGCGCCCACCACAACGCCTGGCCATTTTTTGGTTGCAGCCATCATTGTTGTTTGGCGGGCCCGGGCTGGGGATTCGAACCCGCATGAAATTCTTATGGTAAATATTAAACTGTCCCCTGGTGGAACACAGGATCCGTAAGTGGGGAACATTTTGATGGCTCATTAAAAGTCACATAAAGACATAATGATTGATTGGGGATCCAAACGCGTGTGCTCTGTCAGTCAGACGGGTGGATCCCGAACATCCCACCCCCAGTCTGTGGACTGTGTTTTTCATGTAGAATAGCTCAGGCTACCAACAGGGACCTCTGTCAGGTCCAAGTGGCTATTTCGGGATGAACTTCAGAACTGTCCTCACGTAAACTCATTTTGAATCCAGAAATATTTGGGGTAATCTTCTCTTTTCAACACATCACCATGTAAGGGGTTCTTAACGCATTCAATCTATTGGATTTCTTCAACGGAATTTCAGAATAGGCTACTTCTCTTTCTGACTCATTTTTGTATTTTTTTCATAGTACAATCTTTTTTGTTGTTGTTATTTTGTTTATCTGTTTATCTGTTGGCCCTCTCAGCTACATAAGAGCAGGGACATCTATTCTGTCCCCTGTTCTACTCCTGTGCTTAACAGCAGTCTCTGGAGCACAGAGAGTGTTCAATAAATACCCACAAAATGGACTTTTGTTGACTATATTGGTTTCCTTTTTGAGGGGATGCCCCCTTTTACAAAGTTTATATTCTTCATGCCGTGTTTTCGGTTAATAATAAAAGTAAACACACAGCCTACTATGTGTCAGATGCTGTTCTGTGTACTTCACATATCTTTATGTTACTTAATCCTCCCGGCAACCCCGTGAGGTACCCACATTTTAGAAATGTAGGACAGACGCACAGAGAGGTTAAGTAACTCGTCCAAGGTGACACAGACAGGACACAGCAGAGCCAGCCTATAAACATGAGTAGCCTGGCTCCATAATTAAATTTCAGATGAATATGAAGGTAAACGATTAGGTTACATTGTTTGCGTTTGTTAGGTAAAGCCCAAATTGTGGCTGGGCCCGTCACCCAGGAGCGGCGCCCTGTACCCCTACACATAGTGAGTTCTTAATCACACACTATTCCATCGCTTTCCTACCATTTCCACCCTTTTCTTATTAAACAATTTGCTTCTTCTCTAGGAATCTTGTTACTTTTAAGTAGAAGATACCTAGATGATTTTTCAATAGTCTGAGAATAGATTACTCTTGAGAAATACTGAGCACAATTATCCTTTGCCAAACATCTTTAAGTTCTTCCTTATTACAGATTTTAAACGTCCACTGTGTAACCAACTTGGCAGGAGGCTAATCTCTGTTATGCAACATGAGGCTAAAAATATATGATGGCGAGGTTCTGCATGGCTGACCATGACTAATATGCCCTTTATTTTTTTCTGCCAACATCTGGTCACCTAACCACTTGCTGATAATATAGGCTACTTTAAAAAGCAGATAATTACAGCACAGCACTTGATATGTGACAAGCAACAGTTATGCAATGAAGGACGAAGAACAAAATAATTCTTATTTTTATACTTAGGAAGGGGACATTTTCAGATATTTGCATCCTTGTTTCTTTGGAAGGACACAACTTTTATCACCTGTTTATAGTGTGTAAGGACCTATACATGAGCGTAGAATTGAACATGAAAGATAATCCAGGTTGTGTATTTTGGAATCTGTCATTTGTATTTGTCAGAGGACGTTACCACTCACATTGTTAGCAGTGTTACTCTGTATGAGACACCACCAAGAGAGTTATGCAGGCACGCTTAATTAGCAGTGTTTCCCACTGTCGTAATTAGTCACTGTCCTTGCATACATCAGTTTATTATTGTTAGTGATTCTCAGAGTTAACTTGCTAATAAGGGAGGCAAGAAAGAGAACTACTGAACAGTATGTGTGATGTGTAAATAGCTAACCTTCCGCTGTGTTCAAATAGTATCAGATGCATTGTATACTTAGAGTATGAAATGAAGTCTGGAATTAAATATTCTGGGTTCTAATGAAATGTCTCCCGTGCTTTTGACAAACTATTAAAGCAAACTATTCTCTTCGAATCAATTTACAAACATTCTCAGATGCTTAAATTCAATCTGAAGTGATAAAGTTAGCCAGGTTAATAATTTCTTATAGAAAATGACTGAAAGGAAGAAATTCCTGAATCAAGGAGAGAGAGAGAGAGAGGGGTGGATTTTTTAAGGAGGCTGTATTATTAGCTATTCTCTATTAACGATTTCATAAACAAAGATCGTAAAGAAAGTTTCTGAAAGTGGAGCAGATTATGCCATAAAGTGATGAGATCTTTATTAGGGCTATGTCAGGATACGGCTAATTGATCCCTGATCACAGAAAAAATTTGGGCTTCTCAGGCATCTGAGCCAAAGAAGTTTATGAGAGCCTGTGTTTCATCACCACAGGATCCTGATATAGGATGTCAGAGATGACTTTTTTTTTTTTTTCAGAGACAGAGTCTTACTGTGTTGCCCTTGGTAGACTGCCATGGCATCACAGCTCACAGCAACCTCTACTTCCTGGGCTTAGGCGATTCTCTTGCCTCAGTCTCCCCACAATGCCCAGCTATTTTTTTTGTTGTTGCAGTTTGGCTGGGGCCAAGTTTGAACCTGCCACCTTCGGGATATGGGGCCAGCACCCTACTCACTGAGCCACAGGCGCCACCCCAGAGGCGACTTCTATATGAGATTAAAATTCCATTTAACTATGTAATACTTATAAAATATACTGTAACTTAAACATTTGCATCTTATGAATTTGTACATGTATGTGAGATATATGGCTCAGTGAGTAGGGCGCTGGCCCCCTATACCAAGGGTGGCAGGTTCAAACCCGGTCCCGGCTAAACTGCAACAAAAAAATAGCTGGGCGTTGTGGCAGGCACCTGTAGTCCCAGCTACTTGGGAGGCTGAGGCAAGAGAATTGCCTAAGCCCAGGAGTTGGAGGTTGCTGTGAGCTGTGTGATGCCACGGCACTCAGTACTGAGGGCGATAAAGTGAGACTCTGTCTCTACCAAAAAAAAAAAAAAAAAAGAATATGTTATAAGATCATAGATGTAAGTTAAATGGATATATTACTCATTATAAACTTGTTTATACATAAAGTATATAAGACTATTGCAGGCGGTGCCTGTGGCTCAAAGGAGTAAGGTGCTGCCTCATATGCCAGAGGTGGTGGGTTCAAACCCAGCCCTGGCCAAAAACTGCAAGAAAAAAAAAAAGACTATTGCAGGTGCGCTCCCCTCTCCAGGTGTCTGAAACCACAGCAGTCTTAGTTCTCAAAGTATGAAGAAAACAGTATTATCAGTGATTTTTCAACCAGTGTGCCATATGAGGATCTCAGGGGTGTTGTGAACATCTTTAAAGATCATTAATTAAATTATTTTTGAAAGATTTTCAAAGCACAGTAAATATAATTATTTTTTTACTTTTTTTGGGGGGGGGGTCACCCTGATATAAGCGTGCTATGGAAGTTTAACTATAGGTTTAAGTGTGCCGTGAAATGAAAAAGATGGGAAAGCACTGATCTAGGGCCATACCCCACGATAATGACAAATGGTCAGAAACCAAACTTACCAGGACATTCATTAACGCGACACAACTTTCCATTAGCTGTTTTAAGGAAGAAAATTAATATGATAAATTAAAGTTCAGCTGCTTCAAATGTGATGCAATCTTAATTCTAAAGTGGTACTTAGTGGCAGCTATAAACGAAATGACTATTTTAATGCCACGCGTAGAAAATGACATAGCCTTTTTAAAGAAGCAGTGCTTTTTAAATTGTGCTTGATGACTCACCATTTCTACGATAACCCACAAAACGATCAGCGGCCTTGGTTAGGTTTACAAAGTCCCAAGTACGAGAGTAAGACATAAAATACAAAATAAATACGCATCCTTCAAAAAGGAGGCAGGCATTCGATAACTCTTTTTGTTTAAGAAGGACTAAATCTCACAGAAGTTTTTGCTTGATGTTGTAGAGTTGGGCACCCACTAAAGCCCCCCCTTCCTCTACTTTAAAGTTATAATATGGAATGTAGTGGAGCCAAGATAATGTCCTCAGCCCGAATGGAGGTTCTTGAAGAGTTTTCTATTTAACATAATTAATTGGTGAACATTTAAAGACGTGTTCATCAGAATTAGATCTCTTGAAGGACTAAGTGATAGCTGCTAACAAGATGAATTATACCTGGAATAAGGTGAGGGGCTGCATGTGAGTGCTGGTAAGCCATGAAACCCACAGGATTGGGCGCAGGAACGTGACTGGAATAAGACTATAGGGTACCAGGGAACAGAAAGGTCAACATAACCATCGAAAGGAAAATGTTGTGACCTCTAGATGTAGTAATGACATTTAGCACATGGGAGATGATGACCTGGATTAAATAAAACAATTCTAATTAAGAGTGGTCAGACCATGGGTACCTTGAGCAAGAGATGGATAACTTGGGATTTGGGCTGAAGAGGATGTCATGGGTGTTCAGAACTTGACCTTGAGCTGTGCTGGCAGTCTGGAGGAATAGAGATTGCTGGTGGCTGCCTTACATACTGGAGAGTAGGTTCTGTCTTGTGCAATAGACTTTTCCATGTGGCCACGTAGATACAGCTCTGGAGAGATAAATTGGGGTTTCATTAAAGGCAGAACTTTAGGTTTGACCCCACCATCTCTGGAGTATAGGACCGGCGCCTTACTCCTTTGAGCCACAGGCACCACCCTTGGTAGAAGTTTTTAAAAGACTAAGTGGGGAGCCAGAGAGGGGATTTGACCATTGATAGCAATACTAGATGACTTTTTTGGATGGTAGGATTCAGTAATTTTGGTTATAAAAATTAGTTTATAATAATCCTTGACGTATGTATATTATGTAAGTTAAATAGGTGGTCGCTTGTGTTTATAAATGCCTACGAGGAGTTTAAGCTCGTGAGACTGTTTTATAAATTCATTTATTCATCCACTAAACATTTATTGCTGATACTAAAAGATATGTAAGATAGTCATAGCTCTCAAGAAGTTCATATGGTAAAAACTTTTTCCTTAAGTTCAATTGTATTCTTTTTTCATTGAAAACTAGACCTTCTTTGGTCCTTGGTGGAGACTATTCCAGTTTTCCTTTTTAAGTTGCTTTTTTTCTTGTGTGTGGAGGAATTCCAACTCTATGTAGCATCCTTTCTGTATTCAGCTTTTCATATATTTTCAAGATTAATCCTGCCTTTCTTTTCTTCATTTATTATAGTTTTATTCTCATTCATTCGTGGAGCAAATATTCAGTAATGCTAAGTATGTAGGTTCTGAGGATTCAGTGAACTGGACAGTCATCGTCTAGTCAGGGAGGACAGATGATAAGTCATTCCACAAAAACTCAACAAAGTAACTAAACATTGTGAAGGAGATAAAGAAGATAGTGGTATAAACTTGGGAATAAGGGGATAATTTGGTGGCTGTCTTTAGTGTCCAACTTTGTGACTGAATTTGGTTTCATCTACACATTTTAATACTTCTTTTTCTTTTTTTTTTCTTTTTGAAACGGAGCCTCAAGCTATCCCCCTGGGTAGAGTGCTGTGGCATCACGCTCACAGCAACCTCCAACTCCTGGGCTCAAGCGAGTCTCCTGCCTCAGCCTCCCAAGCAGCTGGGACTACAGGCGCCTGCC